GCCTGCACTTGATCGGTGTATCGCTGCAGCCAACAACGTCTTCCCAATCTCCAGCTGACCGAACCCTCAGCCAGTTAAACGCGACAAGACACTCCACAATCGACAAGACTCGACTGAAAAAGAAAAGACGCAGTCAATCAGCGCAAAACGTCGACGCAACGCGGTTTTGCTTGTGTGCCCGACAGACCATCAAGGTGTTGCGAATTGGACGCTTGAAAACAACGCGTGCACTCGCCAAAAGATAAATTCCGGCCAGCACCATGATGACCTTGACGCATTCGCCGAGGCAGCTTTGCCGGAAAGGGTAAGATGCCATATGGCTATCCTTGCAACGGCTTAGTCGTGGATCATGGCGCCGGTAGCGCGCCCGGGCGTAGATAGATGGATCACGTTCCGAGACCGTTATCGTTGATATTGGCGGCGGTGAGCAATATCGGCAGCGTTGATTTGACATTTGACACATATGCCGGTGCCTGTATCGCTATTTATGATTATTGATCGCGCTCTTCGTCAATTTCTAATCTCAGTCAGGTACCGAGGTAGTCTTTGTCTGGAAAGTTCCAAAGCAAGTGCGTTGATGCAAGCAGCGATGTCTGTACACCGCGACAACACATAACGACATCCCGCGAAATCTCTCGTCATATCGAATGAGAAAAGCTTGCTATCGCGCAAGACCCTGATAACGTGAACGCACGCCGTTCCAAGGCCGGCCGACCCGCGATCACTTGCATAAACTGCTTTCTATCGGCCCTTTCGGAAACGACTCGGAATACATGCCCTGGCCTGAGCGCAGTGTGTCATAGCGCGCGCGATGGTCAGGAGAAGAGACTTTCCTTGCTAAGACCCTGCAAAGTCTCCAAGTTTGCGTCAATGTTGCATGCGCGAGCGAACATCGGGAGATGTTGAAAGAAAAAAGTGGAGAGAGGATCGCCGGTTTCTCGGCGGCCAGGAAACGGTACGTACCTGCATTTGCTAGGCCCTGTGCCAAGCATTGAACCTAAGTACTGTTAAGCTACGACAAGCACGACATGAGTTCATCATCAAAGCCAAGAAGAAGCGCAATCTTGCGTCATGTTCAACGATATGCATTGCTCAGCTGTAGCAGCCCAACTGTGAACGCCATCGAGCTACCTAGATTTGCTCTTTGCCCCCCAGGTTCCCTAACCCATACCCTAATACAGTAGTTTCCCTTTCTCAAAGTACCGGAGAAAAGGGAAACAAGCCAACCACAAGCAAAATCCAGAACAAAACAAGAATCTTTTTGAGTTTATCCCTCCCTTGCGGATTTACAAAACGCCTCGCGACTGAGCACGTAAGTTGACCCAATTGGATTTGTGACACGGAACCTTGGAAAAAGAGAGGATGCAAGAGTAGAGGAACAAGAGGAGAAGAAAGGAGATTGTCATAATACAAAATCTGAGGCCTATCAAGCGTATCATGGAAACATGCTTTTCGTGCCATCAGCCAACTCAAAGTGGACGTGAGAAAGAAAACAATGACCTCGTGTCGTACCAGCTCATCATGATGATATGACTAGGCCATATTCCTCTTAACAACGCGTCAAGCCTCTCAATCGTCCAGTATTTGCATAAGACGGGCCCTAGTGCTGGCCGTAGTTTCCGCCCCAACCTCCGCGGTTGTAGCTGCCGCCACCATATCCTCCGCCAAAGCCGCCGTAGTTGCCGTAGCCACTCTGCTGCTGGTGGTTGCCGGAGTTCTGGTGACCTAGACCACCGAGACCGCCGTACTGGCTGTTGCCGAGGTGGCTTGGGTAGTTACCGTAACCTTGCTGGGAGTGTTGGGGACCGCTCTGTCCGGGAGTGCTCTGGTTGGCAGAGCCGGGGCGACCAGGCTGAGCACCAAGAGCCGCTGGGCTGGGTCCACCGCTCTTGTAGTCGTTGGAGGGCTTCAGGGCGTCATCGTTGAACCCTTGGCTACCCTGCTGTCCGTAGGAGCTCTGGTGGAAGTTTCCTGGTCGGGTAATGGTATCGGGAATGGCGCCGAATGCAGCAGCGCCGGCAGTGGCGCTGGGGTTCTGAGAAGCTCCAGAGGCTGAGCGACCGTAGTCGCCGAAGCCTGCACCCATACCGCTACCGCGATCATGCAAAGAGGAAGCGCCGAAGCCGCCTGCATTGGCGGGGGACGACGAGTGCTGGTCGAATGAAGCCTGAGGAGACATGCCGTAGTGAGGCTGGTTGTACATGCCACCCTTTCCAAACGAACCATAGCCGGCTCCTCCCTGACCGTAACCACCGAATTGGTTCACGTAGTTAGCGTAGTAGGGGCTGCCATAGTACGGGTGACTGTATGGGTAGCCTGCGTTATGCGCGTTGTGCGCGTGCTGGCCTTGAGCGGCATGTCCTTGTTGGCCAGCCATGGCGGCGGGGTTGGGAGTGTTGTGTCCGCTGTTCTGAGCATCGCCGTATCGGCTCTGGGTCTACAATTCTGTCAGTATACAATGCGAGAAGATGTAGAGTTCCGTCTTAGCTGCTGTCCTTACTCTGCCCGTGTCATGTGCCATCTCTGCCCAGAGTTTCTCATTCACATGAGATGGTTCAGATTGGTCGGCATGATTATCGGTTTGGAGTTTGGCGAGCTGTTTCAGACCTTTAGAGAGTGCACTTACCTGTGGGATTTGACTCTGCGAATAAGCAGAGTCAGTAGGTCCAGAGCCAAAGGCGCTGCCAGTGCGCTGCTGAGCAGAACCAGCTTCCTGCTGGCTTTGTGCAATGGGCTGACCGTAGCTTCCATAGTAGTTCTGGTATTGCGCGCGTTGTTCGGCAGTGAGGTAGTTGGAGGGGTAACCGTCTGGGGCAGACGAGAAGGCACCAGGCTGGGACGGGGCCTGGCTTTGTTGGCCGGGGTAGTCGTAGTTTTGCGATTGGGAGTGGTTCGACTGCGGGATCTGCTGCCCGAATGGATCGTATGGCTTCTGCGGTGGGGCGGAGGCCTCTGATTGACCATACCTAGCAAACTGGTTGTATGGCTGGTTCGACTGAGATCCTTGGTTCTGCATAGCCTGGGATGCAAGCGGGTTCGAGGGAGACTGCTGTAGGCCGGGCTGATGTTGGGGCACAGGGGGCAGTCCGGGGGCCTGCTTTGGTGTAGGAGCGGCCTCCTGTTGAGGAGCATCTTGGGATGCTTGGCGGGGAGCGGGAGGGAGAGAAGCCCTGGGCTGCGCGACGGGAGAGTGCTGGGGCGGCTGTGTCCTCGTCTCCGCCTCTTCCCTGTCTTCGTCGACATCTGGATCCGAGCCGTCGCCTAATCCCATGCTACCGAATTGGACTGCTGCCCTGTCCACGGCGCGGTCTCCGGGCATGACCACAGCCTCCTGCTGCTCCATCAACCTCCTCTGGTAGCTTGCGCTTCGGTTCGGGGTTCCAGAAGTCGCCTTCAGTGCGGTCGTTTGGAATCCTCCAATAGCGGGGCGACCGATGGGTGCCTGTGTAGGACCGTTCAAGGGGGTCGCTACAGCACTTCCAACATCCTTCGAGCTTGCGACAGTGCTGAAAGCTGTCTCCGTCTTGGGTGGGATGGACGTGTCAGGCAGGTGCTCAACATTCTCTTGCGTAAGTTGATCTCCGGAGGGTGTGAGGGTGACGTCAGGGGCACCATCCACACTCTTGTCCGGCGTCATCTTGGACGTATCTTCGGCGGTGATGGGCGGTGTCTGGACAGCCTCATCTGCAACTGGGGGTATAGGCAGTTCTTCTGCTTGCATGGCGGGCTCTTGGGCAACTTGGTGCGCGGGCGTCTCGTTGGGTACTTGTGAGGGCACTTCGGGGGCAGCAGCGGCGGCGGGCTTCGGAGCTGCCTTGGGAACTGCGGGGACGGGCTTGGGTGCAGCAAACATGCTCGCCCAAGTCTTCTTCGCGGCTGTCATAGTAGCCTCTACGACAGGCTTTATGGCTTCGGGGGTCGCTTCAGGCGCGTGTACGGTCTCGTCGTCCTGTTTGGTCTCCTTGGACTCTTCTGGCACCGTGGGCGTGTCCCATGCAGCGGACTCGGTAGTCGGGACTGATCCAGCAGCCGTACGAGGTCCACTGGCGGCGCCTCCACGACCGCCACGAATTCCACCGCGACCACGATCAGTGCCTCGTCCGCCACGGCCGCCGCGACCGCTGTCGACTCCACGACGGGCTCCGTCGGGCCGGCCACGCAGGCTGGACGCGCCATCGAGGGGGACGTTCTCCTTAGCCTTGGAGCGGGACCTGTCCTTTGCTTTCTTTGGGACTTCTGAGAATTGTGAGACGGCGCCTGCAGTGGTTAGTAATGTAATCACGTGCGTGTGAATCGTGGATGCAGCCGCTTACCCTCACTGATCTTCTCGATGGTAGTCTGCAGGTCGCCGTCAGATTCTTCGATTGCGAGGACGAGATCGGCGTCGGTCCAGTCGGGGAATAGCTCCTTCAGTGTGGATAGCTGTGACTGGTAGCGCTTCTTAAGCTCGCCCAGTTCGCCCTGGTCTGCCGATGTGTCAATGTTGGAGGACGCGCTGTCGCCGTTGGTCTTTCTGGGGCCCCGGGAGCCGTATGATGCCCTGCCGCCGCGGGCAGAGCTCCTGCCTCGCGCAGGCCGAGTTTGTGCTTCAGACATTGGATGTGTGTGATGTGTGGGCAAGCCGCGGGGGACTTATTGGGTGTGTGTGTGTATGTGGGCGGATTGGTGGGCAGGCGAGGTGATGATGTAGAGGGAAGGTAAAGTTGGGGAACAGCTAGAGGAAGCGACCACGTCGGCTTGGCGCTAGAGCTTCCAATGGCTGAGGACGCGGCAGGGTCGCGTTGACTGGGGCTGGAGCAGGCGGGCGGGTGTGCAGATGCGAGGGGAGGGCTGAAGGGCAATTGATCTACGAATAGTAAGAGTGCCTGTCCCAGCCTGCCGTGATGCGCGCGTTAACCTGTCACGTGCGCTCCCGTCGGGCCTGGTCCACTCTCGTCATCGCCTCACTCCACCACCGACCGATCAGGCGCCGCCCACGACTGCGACACCAACACGCAGCCATGCAGTCTTCCGCAAGCAAACGCGTACTGAGCACCCTCGCCTCCAAGATCCACCCGCAGCTGCCCCTCTCCCCGCGTGAGAGTCAGCAGCTGCTCTCGTTGCTGACCAACTCCTTCCGCGCCCACCTCGACCACGCCCACCCCCTCGCACCTGCCGAGAGCAACCCAAAGAAATCCACACGCGAGTTGACCATCAGCTATGGCCAACGCAATCCCTCCGCGAACCGCGCGACGTCCTCGTATGAGTCAGCGACTCAGCACATCGACTCCATCCTGACCAACCCTCTGTTTGCGGTCAAACCCCGTCGGAGGGGCTCAAGGTCTGCTGCCTCCGACATACTGAGAGAGCCCATCGTCTGGTTTGTCGATGAGATAGCTGCAGGTTCTGCCACTCTACCAAAGGCAGCCATGTGCCTCGAGCTCCTCGAGAAGACCACGGGCCAAACCTCGCCACTCAAGGATGGCAGATCATCTGCAACTGTACTCGTCGAATGGCTCCGAACTAGCGGCTCAGATACCTCGAAGCAATTCCTCGACATGTCCATCTTGAAGACTGGACGTGGCAGTAAATTCCTAGACAAGTTGGTGGCTCTCTTCGTGGCTGAAGGCGAGACCACCGCGCTCTGGCGCTGGTTCATCCGGCCAAACGAACAACGCGTCAAGGAGACTGGATTAGACGTGACACGCATAGCGACCTTCAGACAACAACTACTGGCCAAGATGGTTGTATTCGCGGCAGACAACAGCTTAGCGAGCGGTCTGGCTATGTTCATGCAGGCCTTCCGCCTTGTGGAGAATGCCGGGCACGAAGCAGCCTACGATATCCTAAGATCCGCCGGTGGCCACCTGGTGAACCGGATCATCTCCAATACCGACGATATGCTCGAACCCGAGATGTATCAGTCGTTCCTACTGTCAACACCACGGTGGCTAGGGGAATGGAGTCCGGCAGTCGAGTCAATGCTCTGGCTACATCACCCTTCAACGCCCAGTACGGGCCCTGGACTTCATTTCGTCCAGAACCCTGCCGGCGCCATCAGATTCGTTGAAGCATCCCGGAGTCGACGGAATTTCCTTGTCCAGCTCTGCCTAGGGACCGCTCGGCAGCTGATGGAGCAGGAGAATTTTGCTGAAGCGCAGATCGTGATGCAGTTCACAAAAGATCATTTCGCTGATGTTGTTCTACCGAAAGAAGCAGCCATTGAGCAGCCAAAGGAAGACTCGAGGAAAGCACGCAGGGAACAGGAAAATCTGCGGCTGTTAGATCGCCTGGTCCTGACTTGACCAATCTCTTCATTCCATCAATTGTAAATAGCCGCGACTGGTTCGCAGGTATTTTTGGGCGGGCAACCCGAAGATTCCATAATTACTTATGTTTGTATATAGGCCTTATGGTAGTGCACCGGGGTCTGGTCTCGGCGTGCGGGGGAACGCCTACAACCTGCGTCATATCACGCGAACACACGAACTCACGATCATAATAATCTGCAAACATGCGAAGACATGATGTAATAAATCTCACGATCGATTCATTTCCATGAGCTGATCTAAATAAGTCTCCTATTGACTTTTGGTATCGCTAAAAACAAAGTAACGAAATATGCCGTATCATCGTGATCTCATCGCCCCGCTCTATGCCTTGAGCTCACCACCGTCGGTCTCCTCTGGCCAGACGTCGTAGCCGAAGGTGTCCTTCATGTTGACGAAACGAGTGTGTCGTCCATTGGCGACCTCCTCGACGGCGTCAAAGTCGGCCTTGCTCAGCTCGGGAATAAGCCAGTTGCTCTCAATACGCTTGGGAGTGGAGCTCTTGGGCAAAACAACGTAGCCGCGCTGGAGACCCCAAGCAAGCAGAACTTGCGCAAGGTCGTAACCGCTTCGCTCGGCAACTTCGTTGAGCTTGGGGTTGGTGCGGACCTTCTCGCCGGTGCTGGGGACCTGGTTCTGGGAGCCGAGCGGCGAGTAGGCAGCGACGAGAATGTCGTTTTCCTGGCAGTACTTGACGAGCTCGGTGTTGGGGAGGAAGGGGTGGACTTCGATCTGGTTGATCATGGGCTTGACCTTGGCGATGCTGAGCAGCTTCTTCAGGCCGGGGATGGTCCAGTTGGAAACTCCGATGGCCTTGGCCTTGCCTGAGTTGTAAATCTCCTCCATGGCGCGCCATGTTGGCTCCGGATTCTCGGTGAGCTCCTTCTTGATGATGTATTTGCCGTCGGCGCCCAGCTTGGGCATGTGGTTGTCGTCACTCTCCGCGGCAATGGGCCAGTGGACGAGGAACGCGTCAATGTAGTCGACGCCCAGGTTCTTCAGCGAAGACTCAAAACTCCACTTGACCTCCTCGGGCTCGTGCAGGTGGTTCCATACTTTTGTGACGATGAAAAGATCCTCGCGCTTGACGTTGGTGTTTTCCTTGAGGAAGTCGCGGACGGCCTCGCCAACTTCGCCCTCGTTCTGGTAGAACCATGCGCAGTCGAGATGGCGGTAGCCGGTCTTGAGCGCGGTCATTACGGCGGCGTAGGTCTCGCCCGATGCGCCCTCGCTGGCAAAGGTGCCGAATCCGACGGCTGGCATGATGACACCATTGGAAAGCTTGAACGTCTTCTCGTTCTGGAGGGGAGCCATATTTGCGGTGTTTGTAATTCTTGAAGTTTGAAAATGTGTCTTGAAAATGTAGAGTCAAGATGAAAGTGGTCAAGTAGGTTTTGAGATGATTTATTCAGCGGCAACAGCGCGTGCTGGGACTGTGAAGCTACATATATCCAGCGTAACCTTGGTTGGTCTGAAATCTCTTCGCTCTTTCATCATCGCCCATCTGCTCGGACAGCTCCCAACCACGCTGCCGGCCGTGACCTCAGACCGAGAGATTCCGATCGCAGAAGCATCTCGCAGGCATCGGTCCCATTGCGAAAAAACTCCATAATAGTCCCATCCAACAGTTTCACGTAGACCCTCAGAGTAGGCCGTCAGCAGCAGCGATGACGTCGACGGTGGACTCAGGGTCCACAGCACGGGCCGAGCGCTGCCATTTTGATTGCTGGCGCGGAAGTTTTGCCGACCTGAGCTTCGTACAGGTGAAAATGTGGAACGATGTAGTCCCAATAGTCGTGCGGCTCTGCCGTTGTCAGCCACTCGTTTAAGCAGATCACTAGCTGCCTTCGCCCTAATTCGGCGAGCCGCGGTTACCTCGCCCCACCCATCCTTCGTCACTCCCACATGCTGCTGCAAGTACCGCCGCGACTGTCTGCAAGCTGCCTGCACCATCTACACTCTGCTACACTCGCTTCTACTGATTCCCACATGTCGCATACTTGGTGTATGCACGCCAACCGCCTTTGACAGGCGGTGTACCGTGCCTTATCTTCCGGCCGCGCTCTGCTTCCGGTCAAATGAGGCTCTGCGCTAAGCTTTCACGGCTTCGGCCAAGGGTATACAACGCGCATTCCAGGTGTTGTGGCGACTCACAGCACTACGCTGCTATCGGTCCCCAGTTTTCGGCGATAATACGGCGGTGACGGTATCCAGTTCTCATTCTCTGGTTCAGCAAACTTCTCCACTAGTGCTGCTATGCACGGCCACTACAGCAGTGTAATGATGTCGCGCTGTGGGTACAGAGGTACTTGTTGAACGCTCACAGTGCCAGAACGTGGTTGGTGTCACCGGCCTGAATCGGGATAGCGAAAAGCTCCTGCGAAACTTTCCAGAAGAGATTGGCGAATGATGATGGCATCTGGGGTTCATGGACGTCGCTGCCTGTCACTGTGACAAGTGATGTGATATATAGCCCCTCCCCCAGAGGACCCTGAGACTGCTCTTTCATCATCACAACTCCACATCTTCAGCATCACATTCAGCTTCTGAGAAGACTGACACTACTACTTTCTTCACTTGATACCCCATTCTTATCCCAACTTCAACCACCATCATCATGTCTCCCTCCGCTGTTGAGAACGAGGCTCAGACTACCTCCAACAAGGCTCCTGAGCTTCCCATCCCAGCTGACCCTCAACAAGATGGCACCGACAACACCGTCGAGGTCCCAGCGACCCGAAGTGCCATGGCCGACACCACTGGCTACATGCACAACCTCTCCCTCTCGCCTTCCATGAAGGAGAGGAGAGGATCCCGCAACTCCTTCGGTACCTCACTGCCCATCCCCCGTTCCAAGAGGCAGTCGAGGCTCTCGTCCGTTCACTACCCCGATGGCCGTGGTGCCGCTGTCCGCCCTGGCATGCCCCCGATCCAGCCATCTCGCGACATCATCGCTGCCCAGCTTCAAGATCTCGCTGGCGAGAAGGTCCGCGCCGCCAAGGACATGGCTTTCGTCTTCGACATTGACGGTGTCCTCGTCCACGGTGACCGTCTGATCCCCGAGGGACAGCGCGTCCTCGAGATCCTGAACGGAGACAACGAGCTCGGCATCAAGATCCCCCACATCTTCCTGACCAACGGTTCCGGTAAGCCCGAGCAGGCTCGTGTCGACCAGCTGTCCAAGATCCTCCACAACCCCATCTCGACCGAGCAGTTCATCCAGTCGCACACTCCCATGCGTGCTTTGGCCGAATACTACAAGACCGTCCTCGTTGTCGGTGGTGAGGGCTACAAGTGCCGTGAGGTTGCCGAGCAATACGGCTTCCAAGACATTGTCGTCCCTAACGACATCATTGCCTGGGACCCCACCATCGCCCCCTACCGTGTCTTCACCGACGAGGAGCGCAAGACTTCCCGTCCCCGCGACTTCAGCAAGGTCAACATCGAGGCCATCATGGTCTTCTCCGACAGCCGTGACTACGCCACCGACATCCAGATCATCATGGATCTCCTCCAGTCCGAGAACGGCAAGTTTGGAACTCGCGCCAAGGACCCCGTCTCCCAGCGCATCCCCATCTACTTCTCCCAGGGCGACATGCTGTGCCCCACCGAGCACCCCTTCCCCCGCATGTCCCAGGGTGCCTTCCGCATTGGTCTCGAGGCCATGTACAAGTCGCTCACCGGCGTCGAACTCGAGCGTGTCGTCTACGGCAAGCCCGAACTGGCTACCTACAAGTACGCCGACGAGGTCATCGCCTCCTGGATGGAGACCATCCACAACGACGAGAAGCTGCCCGCCAACATCTACATGATCGGTGACAACCCTGCTTCCGACATCGTCGGTGGTAACATGTACGGCTGGAACACTTGCCTTGTCCGCACCGGTGTCTTCCAGGGCGGCGACAACGACGAGCAGAACCCTGCTTCCTTCGGTGTCTTCAAGAACGTCTTCGAGGCTGTTACCACCGCTATAAAGAAGGAGCTTGGCGAGGACTTCAAGTTCAAGTTTGACGACAAGATGAACCCTGTCAACCTTGAGGGTGGCCAGTCTGCCATTGCTTAAGTGCTTTGATGGGATAAGAGTTGTTGTACATAAGCATTTTACTGGCGTTTCGTGTTTTTTTTTTTCGGGATTATATCCTTGCATAGCGAAGCTTGCAAATCACCTTTATAGATCAAACGAGTTTACTATACAACTGGGTCTACGGATTCTGGGTTTTCGGTTTTTATATAGATTACGATGAATTCTAAAAGTCTTCTACCTCTTACACGATGATTTCTATCATATGCTCAGAATGTGAGGACTTTGCTTATTTACGGCATGATATTTTGTCTACTACCTCTTGGTCGCTTGTTCTCTGCATGCACCAAACTCATCGCTCTGCTACATCTCTCATACTCAAGAAAGACTACTCATCATCATCATCTCCAAACCCCACTAACGCCCTCCTCAGCCTAACCTCCCTCCCCACCCCATCAACCTCCCACGTAGCCTTACACTCATACCGCCCCTCCAGCCTAACCCAAACATCCCTCAACAAATACCTCGCCAGCGTCCTACTCTGATACAACACGAACTTCTCATTTGTAGGACTGATCTCGTCTTCTTGCTCTACCACATCTTTCTTCTGCGGACGAGGACTGGCTAAAATAATCTTCCGGGGTGATATGTTGGGTTGGGTGGTTTCGGGTGATAGTTGGAGACATGGGTCTTCAGTCCCGATGGGTACAAAAGTATCCCAAGCCGGTACACCATCAACAATCGGAGTCGAGCCTGCTACCGGTGAAGCATGAGTGTCGTACCATAGTCCTGTCGCGCCGATCACGGCTTTGACGTAGAGGGTCCAGGAGAGTGAGAAGCCTAGGTTGCGGTAGGAGCCTGCCTGTTTGCATTTGTTAGCCTTGTCCTTATTCTCATGATAGTTGGTCGGAGTCGTCACACTGTTTCAACGTGGATGTGTGTAGGGCGGACTTACGATGACGGTATTCCCCTTCCGCCTAATCACGAAGATACTGCCTGCTTTGTTCCTCTCCACCTCACGTCTATACACGAACTCGTCCACCCGCGGGTCTAGGAACGCTTCTACACACTCCTTGTTTGTGTGACTGAGAATGGTGGCGATGGCGTCGCTGAGGCGCGGGTACGCGGCTCCGACCAGCAGGTCTTGAGTGTTGAAATACGCGTCTAGGTCGATAACATGGGGAGCGCGGACGGAATCTCTGCTCTGGTCGTAGTAGAAGTACTGGGAGCCGGGCAAGAAGACGGATGTCATTACTTTGTCGCAAATGTCGCCGGCAGGGTTGGAGTAGTATGTGTTTTGCAGTTCTTCCAGTTGGTCTCGGAGGTCTTCTTCTTCGCGGAGGAGGGCGTCGGAAGCGCGTTTTGTGGGGGAGGATGGGATGAAGGAAGTCAGTGTGGCGCTGAAGCGGGAAAGAGTGCTGCTGTTCGTTGGCTTTTGCGGACTGTTTTGGCCGGGGGGCTTGAAGGTGGCTTTGAAAGTGGAGGAGATGTGGCTGGCGTCCAACTCGGCCCATTCATCGTCGTCGGGCTCCCAGAGCGGTTTACCCTTGAACGGAGAGAGGTCGCGAAGACTGGTTGGCATGGTATTAGCGATGTCGGGTCGTTGTGTGCGAGGTTGCGCGGGGAGGTGTGGGCTAGAAGAGAAAGGCGAGTTGAGGGAGAGCGTCGAGCTACTGGGGGAGCTGTCGAAGTCTTCTTGAGCAAACAGTGGTGCGATTTCGGAGCCGTGCTCTGTTTGCGCCTCTCCGACGTCGAGATCGGATGATGGAGGCGGTAACTTTGCGGCTTGCTTTGGAATCTGGTCCGCCCAACTGATTGTCCGGATGCGTCTTGAGGTAGGTCGTGGCGATAACGATTTCGGTGAAGTCGGAGCGGTCTTGCTCATCTTGGAGGCCTTGTATTTTCGATGCTCGAAGTCATTGCGTTTTGCACTGATGCTGTCTTCACTACGAGCGCGTAACAGCGCATTTCCCCCAGCAATTTTGGAAGGCGAGCCGGAGTGGAAGATCGATGTCAGCCCTGGAAGCATGTTCATAGAACTTCCCACCACATAGTACGAGGAGCCTGACGATGACAGTTCGGTCGAGCCTACAGCTACTGACCGGTGATCTTTAGCTCCATCTTCTCTACGGTCTGCCGTGTTACGACGAAACAAGGAGCTGAAGAAGCCTCCACTTTGACTATTGCTCAGCGAGCGCGGTAGAGTTGCCCTTGAAGATGATCTCGAATACCCAAAGAGACCTGATTCGAAGATGGACTTTGGCGAGCTGGGAGGGGTTGCCGTCAATGTTGATGATTGTGGACTTCCAGGCACCTTAACGCGTGGGTATTCCAAGTCTAGCGGTTTGGGTGGAATCGTGCAAGCCTGTGCTGTTACGGGTGGGAATGGTACAGGTGCGATAGTCTTCGTGTGCTGTAACGTGGGTTGTACAGGAGCCTTTGGGTCTGACCTTGCGAGTAGATCACGTAGCCGTTCTGCTGCGTCGCTATCCTGCATGATGGCGATCGAAGAGTACGGAGATAGCCGGAAGCTGAGCAAGTTGGTTGAGTTGAGGGTGGAGCGTTTGCTGTACTCGTAAGGACAAGGGGAATGAGAAAGAGCAACAGTGAGAGTCAATGCTCAACTGGACCTCCGTCACAAGAGCGACGGTAGGACGTAGAGGATTCACAGTCGCTTCAGCCATGTCTCTTGCGACTTCAGTGAATGGTTTCACAGAAATGGCAGTCAAGGCAGTAGGGCATCACAGCAAGCTAGTACCGTTGCAGTGACGAGAGTATGCGAGACGGGAAGTGCTTTGACGTTTACTATAAAGATTACACAGCCGTAAGTATAGAGTTGCTCAACCTAATAACATGTAAGTATATGTTCGTAAAACTGACAGATGGATCCATCGACGTCGTTCCGTAGTATTGCATATCATCTAAAGTGGACATCAAGTGAATCATAACGAAAACATGCCGAGTGGCTCGAGTGTCATCAAGACCAGAACCCGGTCGAACGCTCACAAAGCGTGCCTGTAATCGAGTCAGTACCTCAGCAACTCCAACATTTTTGTCCAGCCCTGCAAGCAGCCGCCACATGTATCACATCTATCCACGCGATGCTCGTTGGGAGTTGGTAGATTTTCGATTCATTCAGGGAGAGAACCCAGACTCTTGATATGTCGTCGTAATCGTAGGTCTCCACAGATCCATCATCTCCATCCCCCTCCTTCGCAGCGCTGCAAGAGCAACTACCACGCCATCATATTGTCCATACTCGTGAAGTCCGTATAGATGCCCATAGCTTTCGCAAAGAACTCCGGTAACCGAATAGAAAATGCCGCTTTCCCTTTTTCCCCGAGAGTTTGCTTGCGCTTATCGCAGACGCCTGGCCTCACGCTCGGACTCGAGCAGGCAGAGAATGTCGTTCTCGCGGACTGTAATGTCTCCGTTAGTATGCGGGGGTTTCGTTCAGCAGGCAGGTAGAGCGTGCGTACCTGGGCCCTTGACGTTGCGGATGATGGAACGGGTCTGGTCGTTCATGAACTCGACGCGGCATTGAGTGACACCACCACGGGAGCCTGTTGTTATCCGTCAGCCTGCCATTCTCTCACGTTGTGCATCCCCCAACTGCTGTATGCGCTTGTCTCGCAGAAAAGTTCGGGGTCTTCGGAAAGTTCGCGTACCGGTTCGGCCAAGGACACGGGTGACCTTGACGAGGTTGACGGGGGCCTTAGCAGAGTCCATTTTGTGCGGTTGTGAAGTTCGACGGGAGTCGGTCGTTCGGTGTGCGGAAGAGCTGGGTTGGGCGTTCGGAGTTGGAGTTGTCGCTGGCGATGCGTGAGAGCTGGTGCGAACGGTGGGCAATTTTGCAAAGTGCGCTAGCTAGGCGAGCAGGGGTGTGGCGCGCTAGTACCCCGTCCATTCACTTCAGGCAACACCACCATCAACACCCAGAGCATCACGACTTAAGTAATTCATTCCAAATCTTGGACAGCTACGAGCGTTATGAAAGAGCTATGATTTATGGCGCGACGTCCAAAGATTCGATCGTCGCAACACCAAGTGCCCACGCAATCATCACACACATCTCACAATGCACCAAGGACAGCAGTTCTCAACGACATTTTTCATTCCATCTATCTAGTAAAGAAGCGCCAAATCGCTCAGAGGGGTATAAAGCGCCTTCCAACGCCTTGGGAAGTACCCGACCCTCCGTAGCTCTTCCAGCCATGCCCACCCACGTCCGAACTAGTCATACCGAGGATCGGGTTCCATGTAAACAAGCTTGCAAAACCTCAAATCCCTGAATGAATGTGTGGAAGGATCTGAAGCAAGCCATATCATCAGCTGTCACCTACATGGCCGCAAACCTTCTCCTCAGCGGCGGAGGCGTAAACTGCGAACCGGGCTTCCTCGTGGCCTTCACAACCTTCGTAACGGTATGCTTGACCGTGTCACAATCGACTTCGGTCTCGGTCGCAGTGGTAGTCGAAGTGAAGACGTTTGCAACCTTGGTAACAATGGAAGGCTCGGGGGCGACGGTGGAAGGCTGGGAGGTGACGATAGACGGCTCAGGCCAGGTGAAAGGCTCAGGGGCCGCAGCACGGCGGCCGATCGGAGGAATCTGCCATATATCATGGCAGTAGCCGAAGGAAGGGAGACAGCCGGGGTTGCAGTGAGCGGCTGTGTCACCGCAGTAGCCGTAGGGGCTGCAGCAGGGTCCTTTCGGAGAGCCGTTGCAGGTGAAGCCAGTTGTGCCGCCGCCTGTCAGAATGTGGTTAGTGAGGTGTTCAGGATGAGGTAGGCGGGTGAAAGACTTACATTGACCATTTGGAGAGATGATCATGCCATTGGGAGCGACGACAGGAGGCTGGACGACAGGAGGCTGGACGACAGGAGGCTGGACGACAGGAGGCTGGACGACAGGAGGCTGGACGACAGGAGGCTGGACAACTGGTGCAGGAATGGCCTGGTGGACGGAACCAGCAGCCTTTGGTTCCTTGCCAAAGAATGTCTGGACTCCTGGGCCGTCGGTACCTGTGATCGATCATCAGCCACTATCCAAGAGAAGGACAAAACGTGTTAGTAAACTTACAAGTCTCGACAAAGATATCAGCACCAGCCCAGCACATGAGGCTTGGCTCATTCGCGAACCCGCCTGGGCTAAGATAAGTGTTCACACACTTCTCCTCATTGCAGTACGCATATGGGCAGTCTTTCTTGTTGGGTACTGGGTTGATGTAGAGTTTCACACCACCTCGAATGAGTGCTGAAAATACCGTTAGTCTACATGTCCTCTCTACATCAAGGGGAAATACATACGACAATACTTCGGGTTTGCCGGCCCAGCATTCAGATCACAATCCACAGCACTAAGGTCATACCACATCTTCCCCTTGGATTCCTCAAGATTATACTCGACCTGAATGATGCCTGCAGGCCCAGTAACATAGTAATCCAGATCCCTGATCTTCAACGAGAGACCGCCGCCGAATCTCTCTGTGTCGACCATGGGATGAATGACGGAGCCGCCGTTGCCGGGTACCATGCTGCGGGTAGAGTCGCCGCCATCGAGGTGCGAGGCTGGGGGGCCGACAGCCCAGAAGAAGATGTTGTACGGGCAGTGGTTGATGAATTTGACGTATTTGGCTGACGTGCCAAGGAAAGTGACGCTCAGGAGCGTCGCGAGGATGAAGAGGGTAAACTTCATGGTTGGGATGTCTCGTGGATGAGATAGGGTGGGATGAAATGAGGTAGGAGGCTCTGAGAAGAGCAAATTGGGAGCAAATCCCAATAAACTTGAGGATGAACGAGATGAAAGCTTTACAGGAAAGAGGAAAGGTACATGTGTGGTTTTATGGAAGAGCGATTCACCCTTGTTTTCTGGTCATCGTTTTCGTTGGGCCCTTCTCAGGGTATCATGGTAATGAAGGGGCGTTGGGGAAGCATCCCTTACGGCTTCACGAGATGCTGGAGGTGTGTTGATCGGGTTTCTCCGGAGGGGTAGGAACGAGCAACACGTGCGGTCACTATTGCTTGGGTATCGCATGTAGTCCCAGACACTTCGTGCTCGCAATCGAACAGACAGTTCCGAAGTTGACGACCTCATCTCTTTGCATGCTCTTCTGAGTATGGAATACAGTATATTCAATCTTATTCTCCTCACGCAGGCATAGAGCATGTTGCCGTCTGGGTGGTAGATTGGAAGTCGCAGTCGCGGAACAGACCCCGTTGTCGTTGGGACGGTGTACTGGTAATGTGCGTTCAACAGGGCTCGCTGGTAGTCCCTGGTACCAAACTACAAAGGCCGCTTCAGCACAACGGGAAAAAACTCATGCAAGGAGGAAAACCGAAGAGGGCTACTACAGTCTCCGTTAGCATAGAATCAGGCGTTTGTACAATCCTAAGAGCAATGTAGACTTTTGGGACAGTTTCTTCAAACCAACGCCATTTCAATTTTTTCGATGTCTTCCTATCTATTGGGTATCATGTGTTGCTGCCAAAGCAATCTGAGGTGGCATCTCATACAAGGAAGAAACTAGACAGGCCTGAAGCCTACATTAGGGAGATAATAAGCAAAAGAGAAGAGCCAAGGTCAATATAAACCTCGCGATTTTTTTTCCCTTGAATGGAATGAGGAAACCGTGCTTGCAATACTGATAATCAAGCCCCAATTTCGTCAACTCCGTCGCAATGCCGTACCGTGTAAATGCATACTTGAACGAAAAGAATAAGACGGTACAAAAATAACAATAATCAAGCTTGCGGAATCCTGGAGCGGTCACCGCCCTTGGCGATCCATTCCTCCTTGATGAGCTTGTCCTGCTCCAAGTGCATGAGCTTGTAGGCTGTGCGGATCGTGCCGTCGCTGACTTCGACAGCCAAACCAATCTCCTTTGGCGATTTGGGCTGACCCATGAGGTGGGAGACGAGGTAGAGACAGGCGCCGGCGATAGAGAGGGGGGAGCGTCCGGCTGCAACTCCGTAGTGGGCGACCTGATCCGCGCACTCTTCTGCGACCATCTGGACTTGTGTTCCAAGGGCGAGTTTGGCGCAGGCACGGGGCATGAGACTTGCGGCGCTGGTGGCTGTGGTACCTCCTTTCTGGTTGAGAAGGTTGACAGTGTCGATGACGGCACCATTTCCTGCAACTGATGGCCCGTTATTCTGGGACTTTTGTATAAAGGCCTCGAGCACCTTGAACGTACGGCCAACTTCCTTCTTGCTCACGTTGGTCATCTTGAAGATCTCGCGGAAACTGCGCTGCTGGTCGTGCTTTCTGCAGGCTATGAAGATGCACCCGGCGATAATAGCGTCTTGCGATTTGCCCTTGAAGAGTTTTGCGTCGTCGGTCATCTTGAACAGCATCTTGGCCGTCTCAGCGGTCGGGCGGCTGATGTTCTGTGAATCGCAGAGCGCTGAGATCTGTCCATACGCGGCCTGCAGCGCCTTGTTGACCTTGTCGTGGTTGGTCTTGTTAAGCGCGCGGCTCAAGTCCCTAGACCTCATACCGCCGTCACCGAAACTGATCTCAGTCTGCAGCTGAGAGCCGTGTAGCAGGGGGTTCGCGGCGTCTCCGATACGAGAGGGGTCGTCGTTTCCTTGATCTAGATACAGAACGCAGTGTTAGCACGAGTGTCACTTGCATTTCCTCCAAACAGGCAAGTACTTGCCGTCGTTGGAAAAGGTGCGCCACTCGGAACGCGTGTCTATAGTCCTCTCTGCGAGTACGCGACCGCAAGAACCGCAGATGGTGTCGCCGGCGCTGAACTCTTCGACCAGATTGGGAGGGTTTTCTTTGCAGTCGGGGCAGATCATGGCAACGTTCAGGTCTTCCTGCCACTCGTCTTCTTTCACGAGTGTGGGTGCGGCTTCATACACCTCGCCAGGCGACAGCAGACGGCCATCGGGGGCGTACGACATCTTCGAGCAGTTGCGGACGAGCTATAGAGTGTATTTCGTTATCTAGCTATTGCGCGCGGTCGACCGACACACTTGTAGGCTGCGTCCGGGCTGGAGCAGGATGAGCGAGTGCGGTGGTATGAGACAGGCTGCGAGACTGAAGGAAAGTCTGCGACGACAAACTTGTAGTTCGGCGCGCAGGCAGCCATTGCTGGGCTTGGCACGCCGCTAAGCCGTTTCGGGTGGCGGCTCAAGCTGCGGCGGTCCACGGTTTTTCCCCAACATCGACCTTCACTGTAGCTCCCATTGCCAGCTTCCCCACGTCACTACACCTACACAATGATCGCGCAATCCATCAGGGCCTCGGTACGCTCCTACTGCTGGTGGAATCTGGACACGTACTGACCTGCCACAGCGCCAGGCGCTCGTCCGCGTTGCCCGGCAGCAACCTGCCTTTGTTGCTCGCCGCACTTTCATCACTCCCTCGGCCGTCCGATCAGGTGATTCATCCCGAATGCTTGGAGACGCGACAGTACTGACCCAATTGGTGCCGTAGCCGACCTAGTGCAGGACCTCTACCTCCGCGAGCTCAAGGCCTACAAGGTCCCCGAAGTCAAGGCATCCGATGCTGAGGCCCACGTCCAGAAGTTCACCGTCCCCAAGGCCCCCGCATCCCCCGAGGAGACCGACATTGCGAACGAGTTGAAGTCATACGAGACACAGGCAGTTGACGTTGAGGGCGCCCAGGGCGAGGACGACGCTGTGCTCCCGCAAGAGGACTGGTTCGAGGAGGAGGACGAGAGCATTACCACCGCCGGTGCCACCCATTAGAGGAGCGTTGCTGGGTGAGGGAGATCATGTATCAAAACACTAGCGACTGTGTCAATACCATTGAGCGATGAAGCCAACGGGAGCTCTGTTCGGGCATATGTGAATCACGTGATGTGACTATGACCTCGAGTCCAACGTGGGGGTACATGAGCAGATAAAGTTATGACTATCGATGCTAAGCTTAGTTGAGTGAGTGCTTTGGTTCGAAACCACGGTCTTTGTCTCAACAAGGTGAACTAAGCTGCTCGCGGATATGATTCTTTTTGACTCGTTGCGGACCGTGATCTACAAGTACATGAGACGTGGGAGTTCTACAGCTAGCCTCCTCAGGGTCTGGCATCCGTGCTCGTGCTGATGCTCTGGGAACTAAGAGGGGCTCGCAGCTGTTGAACTGTGTACTTTTTGTGCATGTGCATTGCTGTTTGAGAAGCAAGCAATCTACCACTTGGCATACGTTCAGGAGAGGGGTGCTCGAGGGGTTAGGGATTGAGGGATTTGTGGGGTGCCAGGATCGTCGTGAGGTTCTGGCAGCAGCCCGATTGCTTTTACGTGCCAGGCTGTAACGAGAGACTGGATGTCGCATCTATGCCTACCTCAGAAGACATTCACACACGACGCGTCGCATTCTGACCGGCTTGATGCACGCTGTTCCGACAGGCATGCGCGGAATGATGATCGCTACACACATGCACACGCGACTGCAGCGACCGTGGCCCCTCAGATAAGCCGGGCTGCGCACTCAGCTGTGCACTACACAGTAATCGTCAGGCTGGCATGTCCCGTTCCGACAATGCTCACGGTTCGGAACTTCGGACAAAGCACAGGATACGCGTGGGTCAGAAGGAGCCTCGCAATTGGAGTCTGCCCCAGTAGCTGCAGGCACGGTCGCCTATCGCACCATCTGCATCTGCGGCTTTGCATACCGACGTCCTAGTGCCATGCGTGCCATGGACTTTTTTCGGTTGAGAGGTTTACCCTGAGGCACTAGCACCTGTCCACAGTAGTCAACCGTACCGGTCTTATACTGCAGAGCAGAAAGCAGTACGTCAAGATAAGTCATGAGAGTCGAGCCGTTATACGAGGCGGTAAGCTACTGGGGTCTGCGGTATGTCTAGGGACCGGCCAGGAGATTACGGCAGCGAGAGATTGCAGTGTTCGCAGTTCACGTCGCGAAAAAACAAGTTGGTTCGCCGGGGGCCCACCGCGCAGCAGACGCATCTTGCCCCGACCGTGTCGCTGCATCAGATGCGCAGCACCGTCACACACGCAGGCATGCCAGCTGCGACGATCCGAAAGGCGTCATGCTGGCGGTGGGTGGCGGGCTAAAGCTCGTACTGCTCCCAGCGTGGAAATGTAAAGAAACGGCGCGGCGCGGGTCAGTAGACGAAAGGCAAATGATACCAAGAATACGCCCGTTTTTAATATAGAATTATTATCGCTCCGACGCGATCTGCGCAGGCGACGACCCCTGCTAGCCCCAGTTCGTCCGCTTGCGAAAGCGTCAAAGTAATAGCCCTCAACCTGCCCCCAGCGGCGTCAGTGAGCGCGGAATCTCTAACCCAAGGCCTGCCAGTCGCTACTGAACTTACTGCCCGATCCTGTCGCAGCAGATTCCACTCGCTTTGCCCTCCCCCGCGTCCTCTGAGCGGCTGCCGTTCGCTTCCGGTACCACAGCCTCGTTTGTGACGTCTTCGCGCGCCCGACTGGAGTATACTGCACCTTTGCCCGTTCACTGCCTGCTGCACAACGGCCCGCCTGACAGCACAACGCCGCAACCGTCCCAATTCACCGCCATGAGCCCGTAAACTTTCTGGAACACGTCAAACTTTACGAATCCCCGGCTGTTTCCTGCTGCCTCGCCCACGTCCAACCCACCTGTCGCCATGCCCATCGCCGTTGCTTCGGCTCCTCGCGGCCACTACTCCCTCGCGAATGCCATTCGAGGCAGGAGCAGAGCCGCCTCAGAGGTCGGCCCTGGTCCACAGCCCCCCAGCCACACGGAGCGCGCCCAGCTCCCCAAGGCCGCCTCGTACACGTACTTCCCCCAGGTCAAGGATCTGGACCACGAGCCCCCCGTGGTCGAACTGAGGGGAGGCTCTGACGACGATGTCGAAACCGGCAAGAGCGAAGAGCGCACGTCTGAAAGCCACTCGGGTGGCTCGAGTCCTTCCTCAGAAGAGGCTCCCGAACTCCCTGGCGTGGAAATGCCGCAACTCAGGCCCAACAACCTCTCGCGTCGCTCCTCGCGCTTTCTCCCGTTCTCCAGCAGGAGCAGAGAGCCATCCGCTGAACGCAAGACCGACCGCAAGGCCGAACGTGGCCGGACCGACGCTGTGAAGCAATCAGACTCGCCCGCTGGCTCCCCTTCACGGTCCCTGACCAATCTGCGGAGGAAGTCGTGGATTGTGAAGGAGCAGCCGCGTGAGTCTCTTTCGCCGGTCAAGGAAAAGAAGCTCAAGAAGAAGAGTCTCGGCGACCAGACCCAGCCTACCACCGAGGCAGCCAAGCGGAAAACGCTCACAACCACAATCACGACTACAGACCGGATTTCAGAAGAGTCTGAAGCCAGGGACACTGTGAAGGAAGAGATTCAACAGCCCGTGCCAGTCGCCAAGAAGAACAAGCGTCTCAGTGGTCTCTTCGCCGCATCGAGCAGCGCTTCCAACTTGCCGTCCGTCCCGAAATCCTTCTCGACAGAAAAGCTTCCCCACTACCCGCAGAACCACAACCCAGTTAGCCCGACCCATATTGTTCCCCCACTACCACGCAACGTATCTGCAGAGAAGCTCAAGGGCATCAAGACGGAGCCCCGCAAGAAAGACGAGCTATGGACTGCCTTCAGGACCTTGGACGGGGATCTGCGCAAGTAAGACTCCCTCTTCCCCCGGTGAATCCAGAGCTAACAGAAGACAGGTTCCAATCCAAGTCCAGTTCCCTCAAAGCCAACGTCGTCCGCACCGCCCTACTACCCTTCCTCCGACAGTATTCCTCACATCCCTCGAACCACAAGCTCAGGCCCGAAGACCTTGACAGGCGAGTGAACATCCTCAATGGATGGTGGACCGGCCTCTTGGAGCTCGTCGCAGGACGGAACAACCAGTCTATCTCCGGCACAGATCGTCCCGTCATTCTGGAGGGTATTGCCGCAGTCATGGAGAGGCCCGAATGGAGACTGTATCCGTCTCCCTTCTGTGCTCTTGCAGACCGCGTGGAGACACTGTCTGCATCTACGACCAGCTCCAACGCATCCGCCAACTCCGACTTCCTCGCCGAATCGGTCTACCACAACGTTCGGAACATTTTTACCCAGAACCTGCAATCTCAGATGGCTTTTGTCGTAGAAAAGATGTCATTGCGGAACGCCGCAGCTAGTTTGGTCACCTTTTGCGGAAAGACCTGCGCGTACGCCTTTTGCTTCTGTCCAGGCGTGGCAGACGTTCTGGTACGCCTGTGGGGTCCCTCTCTAGACATGATGAAGCGCGTCATGGAGGAATCTGGCGTGTCCAAGCTTGATCGGTTGGATGCTGTTTCTGATCGAGTTGTGGCTGGATTCCCTCCCATGCTCCACTCGCTGAAGCTGCTTTCGCTCAACCGACTCCTGCGCCAACTGCACAAGCCTGTGCTGCCCCCACTCGCTATGGCGAACCTCGACTGGTACGGCCTGTGGACAAAGCGCTGGTCTGGTGCTGAGAGCGACCTTTTCTATGTTTTCGTAAAGCATTTCCATATCCTCGTCAGCGATTTCCTACCTGTCGAGCCCAGCAAAGCGGAGCGCATCTGCGTGCCAGGACTCATCATGGTGCATGCCCAGATTTTGGTCAACCTCGATGCGACCATCAACAGGAACGCCACTCCACAACAGCAGGAAGATCCATCGACCGCGGCAAACATCACTTTTGATGACGTTCTAGAACCCGATGCCTCTGCCTCGAGTATCGCCATCCCACCTGCGAATGCTACGAGAATGATGCAAGAAAATCGACTTATAATGCTAATTCGGGATTTCCTCTCTGAGCGGAACTCGCATCTTCACATTGCCAGGCGCATGTTCGCTGACAGTTTCGCTCGTCTCCTACAGGCGCAGGCACGCAAGATTTCGATATACGACAACAGTGCCTGTTACACACTCTGTGACTTTCTCGAGGAGGCTCTCATCATCATGGTCCGATACGAACAGCACGACAGTGACCAACACGCTGTAATGGACTGGCCATTCTGGCTTACCGTATTCAAGGCAATGGCCGCCAGTCACAACACAGCCACCGAGATCAAGTTGTACGCCTTCCTTTACAGCAGCTGGTGCACACTGGTTATGGACGAGCGAAGAAAGGCTGGGTTGTGCCTCGACTTTCTTCTGGAACCAGCTTTCTTCGAGAGCCGCTTCAACCATTGGTGTCCTATGGTACGATCTTACTTTATGCGTTTGATCTGCTGGCGGGTTGCGCGCTATGACGGAAACGAGACCGATACTGAGGTGTACGTATCCTTGAGGCTTGACAATGATGACATATGCTAATAATGAAACAGAGCCATTAAGAAGGCTTTGAGCGACCGCCTCCGGTCCATTTGGTCTCACTACCTCTGGCTTCAAGAAGAAGCTGAGCGTAAGCAGATCGTATACCCATCGACCCAGGCGTGCAATCCTGCACCAGGCCGACGTTTTCTTATCATCCGTAATGATAATCCTATTGTGGCCAACAACGGTCCTTTCCTTTCGTTTGACGGCGTGGTCCAAAACCCCCATCAGCGAAAACCAACTCCTGCCAGCACCAGCATCCCCGAAGCGGAGATTCGGCCTGCGTCCGCCCTGTCCGCGGATTCAAGCGACTTTCCTGATGAAGACCCCGGCAAGGGCAAGTGGAACATCCTGCGGAATCTCATCGGTGGAGGCTCCAAGCAGACTGCGAAAGCCAAGAGCCCTGCGGCATCGATCAAAGACAAGGAGAACAGCAGCAAGACATCGTCTGCTAACTCGTCAACCGACACACTCTCCACCACTGCATCTGCGGTTTCGGAGCCTCCTGTGTCTACGCCAGCACCGCCACCTTCCACTCATCGAACCTACAATTTCCGCTTCTCCCTGGAATGGGTTGACAAACGCTTCGGTACCTACCACAACATGCGCCTCCAACCTCCGAAACTTCCGGCTCCAGCACACAACTTGCTACAATCAAGGGGCATCAACACGGAACCCGTCCTCAGTACCCCTCCAACTGGAGCTGCTGTAACATCAAGTACCTACGCAGGTCGTGCTCTCGCAGAATGGACCTTTGTCAGCCACGAGTGCCAGAACTTCTTCGATAGGAGGAAGAACGAAGGCGTGCCGACGAACCGACAAGTCGAGACACCCACGTTGAACGTCGAAGCGTTCAGACGACCTGGCTAAGCCACAAGGGAAGCAGGCCACAGTGGCATACAACATTCACTTCAGGATCTCGTATATATTTCGACTGGCATTCCCACGTCAGTCATGTTTCAACACCATTCGGCCGGCTCGATACCCATTCAGCATTCCTTCAGCACACACTACCTTGACGATTGCATATGGACACTCGACGCGAGCATCCCCCGACAGCGTTCTTCCACAACATCGAGCACATCATTCTCTTGTTTACACCACATCTGGCATGCATGGCAGTGCGCTTCTTGCATTGACCCCACTTTGATACTACTTCTTTTTGTCTCTTGGGTGTTCTGATTTCCTTCTCTTGGCGTGGGCGTGTCGAGCAAAGTTTAATGGGATATTATACACTTTAGGTTGCCGGGGCGCGGAGTCTGTAGTACGGCATCCACCCCCTCATGGGCCGAACATTAGATACATGAATCATATCGTCTCTTGCATTACTATTCCTGCGCTTCAACGGGTGTTTCTTTCAAAGTCTGGGTGATCAAATACGATGTGCTAGCCTTGAGGTGGACATTTCGGAAAGAGATGTCCCGCATAGCGCTAGCGCCATGTGCAACATGCATGCCCAGCATGATCTACCCATCCTCACATCGTCATCTACACCATCAACTCACCTGAACCCTTCGCACGAGCGGAAGTATAATGCAGCCTCCACAGCAGCAGCATCACGCCGCCACGCGCACTACCGTCGTCGGATGTACCCCCTCGGTTCTAATTCATCCGCGCCCAGCCCTGTATTTCCCCGGTGGAACAATCTACACCAAACCGTCCATTACTAACATCCGCAAGTGCCGGCTCCGGGTACCACGAGACCTGACATGTTTGTTCTATTTGTAGGAAGGGGTCCCGCTTCCGGATGTCTCCCCGCAGTTTAGGTCCTCTAGGTAATATAATCTGGGGGAATTAGCCTGGACTCGGTGTGTTTCAGGGTCGATCGCGGTAGTACTTCGTTGCTTTTGTATAGTAGATTGAGATGGGGCTTACGGAAGATTAGTTGACAAGAGGACGCATGGGGAAGGTAGGGTCTGGTGGTGGTTGGGGCTTATAGTAGGGTGTTTGGACGTGAGTTTTGGGTTCAGCGCTTTTCAGACTTTTGTTTTAAGATCAGAAGAGTATCGTGTTCTTCGTCATGCATTCCTCAAGTCTATTTTCGGTGGCTGCACTGGCGGCTACGGTGTTGGCTGCTCCAAGCGGTCATGTCGAGAAGCGCGCGCAGACTGTATATCTAGCCGGAGATTCGACAATGGCGAGAGCAAGTGGTGCAACTACGGGTACATCCCATCACCTATCACCACCCCAGCTCCCCTACTAACACCCACCCACCAGGCTGGGGCGTCTTCCTCCCCAACTCGCTCACCCTCCCCGTCGTCAACAAAGCCATCGGCGGCCGCAGCTCCCGGTCCTACACCGTCGAAGGCCGCTTCGACGAGATCGCCAACCTCGTAAAACCCAACGACATCGTGATCATGGAATTCGGTCACAACGATGGCGGCGGTCTCGGCAGCGGCGACAACGGACGTTCAGTCTGCCCCGGTACCGGATCTGAGACGTGCCAGTCTACGTATAACGGGCAGGCAGTTACCGTTCACACATTCCCTTACTACCTCACCGAGGCGGGCAAGAAGCTTATTGCCAAGGGCGCTAAGGTTATTGTGAGCAGTCAGACGCCTAATAATCCGTGGGAGGGCGGCAGTTTCTCGTATACGGACGGTGGGAGGTTTGTTGGGTATGCGAGGGACGTGGCGAAGGCGCTGGGGAGCAATGCTATGTATGTGGACCATGGAGCGTACACGGCGGATATCTTCAAGACGCTCGGTAAGGCGAAGGTGGATGCTTTCTTCCCGGTGGATCACACGCATCCCAGTCCGGCTGGCTCGGACGCTGTTGCGAAGGCTTTTGTTAAGGGCATTCAGTGTGGTGGTGGGGGTTTCTTGAATGGGTTTGTTAAGAATGCTACTGCGAGCATTCCGGGGAAGTGCTTGTAGAATCACGAGGAAGAGAATAGTTTTGAACTTTTATGCATATATTTAACTGCTGAATGGAAAAGAAATTAAGACTAAGCGCCGTCTAAGTATCATCCAACCACTGTCCCAGTCTCCTTCATAGCCACTTCTCACCCTTGCCAAGATGAGAGTAGAAAGCACCACCATCTCCATTCTCAACGCTGGAGGCTTCAACAACGCTCAGCACAGCCTTGACTGACTCTTCTGGTGTAATCGGGCCCTTGAAGTCTGGTGCATATGCTGCGAACTTCTGCGACATGATTCCAAGCTTTTGTTGGTCTTCTTCCGAAAGATCGGCGTAGACATCCGTGCCGACGACACCAGGAGACATGCTCAAGAACAAGACTCCGTCTTTGGCGTACTCGGCGCTGAGCTTTGCAACCGCCATGTTGACTGCCGCTTTGCTGATGGAGTAAGGCGCGTCCTCGGAAATGTTGTACTTGCGCACTAGCTCCATGTCGCCCATGCCACTGGAGATAGTGACGACCTTTTTGACAGTTCCCTTGAGGACGAGTGGCATGAAAAGGTTGAAGAGGTGGATGTTGCCGGTGACATTGACACTGAACTGGCGAGTGAGGCTTGCTGTGAGTTTCTCTGGGTCATTGCCGAGAACGGAAAATGAGTCGAAGCCGCCCTCTACCAGACCGGCGTTTGCGATCAGGTAGTCAAGACTTCCGCCGGTGATCTTGGCTGTAGCAGCAGCGGCGCTCTTGAGCGACTCGTAGTCTTCAAGATCGCCCTGAACGAAGTGGATGTTGCTTCTGTTCCAAGAGGCGACCTTGGCTTCGGAGGCGGCTACGTTGCGGACAAGGCCGATGACGACGTTGTTGGGGTTGCTGGAGATGTTGTCGAGGAAGGCGAGGCCGATTCCTCGGGATGCTCCGGTGATGAGGTAGGAAGGCATGTTGGTTTGGTGGTGAAGATTGTAGATTGAGTGTTTGGAAGGCTGTGAGTTTTGATGATTGAGTGTCTTGTAGACTGGAGTATTTGATACTGAGATGTGAGTTGATGCTGATACTATAGAGGCCGAGCAAGCTCTTTTATACCAACTCTATGTGACGATACCATTCCTCCGTTTTGGAGCGGCAGAAGCGTTCCTACCATCATGGCTTCGTAAGCAACAACACTGAGCTCGCGGATTTTGACTACAGTTCTGTTTGAAGGCATATGCGGTCTACTAAGCTTGCCGCAATGGATGTGCCAGAAGGATCGTGCCTGTGGCTTGCAGGAGATCGTTTGACGATGTATGCTTGGCGGTACACGAGGCTGACAAAAGAGCTCGCAGGTAGTTGCTTCGCGTCCATTCGGGGTATAGCGCGGCCTTAGTCACTCGCGCGTGATTCGTTGATAACTGCGGGGCGGGGCGTTTTAGGGCCTCCACGGGCTGGGCCATCTCCCACCTGCAACTCCCGCCCAGCATTTCCAGCGCCCTGCTGTTCGCTTGCGTGTTTCTCCCGTGAACTCGTGATTTCTAACATGCGGCATCAGGATCTCTTTGCAGCACTTACCCGGAAGGTGCACTTCTTTGTCTACCCCGAGCTCTACGCGATACCTGTATAGGATGACTGCGACGAAGGGGTGTTGGACGTGCAAAGGTAGTGCTTGGTCTCGTGGAGTCCGGGATATTTTGCCTTGTTAACATCCTCCATAGATCGCAAGGTCTCGTGTGACCGCACTATTCCTGCGTGCATCAAGTGTTCCAAGACCAAGCGAGCGTGCGGTGGTTATGGCATTCGTCTCATATGGCCCCAGAAGGGTCAACAAGAGAGGTCTCTGCCAACGTCTGCATGTTCGGGGACGCGGCGCACGATAAGCCGACAGAGGACTGAGCAATGGGTCAATGTGTCGCAGACCGATGTCCTCCTCCATGTCCTTGCTAGAGATGCTAAAGGCGGAGGTACGGCGTCTCAAAGCAAGCTGTTGACACGACTTGACGTGTGATTAGTAAAAAGCGAGCATGTTGAGAGATATAGGCTTGCATTGCCCAGGCTTACCCAGACCATGGTCCCGGTACCGAAAACGATCACTGCTAGCGATGCGCATCTAGTACAGTATTGTGTGTCCTCTTATGGGGGATGACTGTTTCGATATTAACTAGCCGCAGTTGAGAACGTGATGATCGGTATCCTACCGACCTTAGGCCGTGACAAAGCAGCCATCGGACGGCTATTATTGCGCATGGCCTTGTCCGGGCGATCAAAAGCGTCAAAGGCTTTACTGCTATCCGTCGTCGCACTGACCTCGCGCCATCGCGGACACGATGCGGTGCATGCGGCCCGTGCAAAGAACGCAGCTATAGACGCTCTGATAAGTGCCACAAGCTCTGAGATGGACCATGATGCCAGTATTGAGCACATTGCCACTGGTCTGACTTTGTGTTTGGTAGAAGTGAGTACTCATCAAGGAAAGACAAGGGCAAGACTGACGCGTTACCGTCACGATCCTAGACAAATCTCGACTGCGATTGGATAGGTCATCTCTGCGGTGCGAGAAACGTCCTACCTACTGTTGAGCAGAAAGCATACCACATTGGCAGCGATGCAGCTGTCATGCTCGAGTGGCTATACCACTTCGTCACCTTCACCCGCTTCAGCTTCCGTCATTGGCGCACTTATATGATTCGATCAACATCGCAAGAACTCGGCATCAATGGTGCTAGCCCCCACTGTGTCATGCAATATCGCATTGCTCGCACATTGTTTGCAAAGAATATGACGGCTATCTCAACATACGTTCATCCAGTAGGTCAACTTCTCGCCGACGTCTTGGATACACGGCTGTATGCTTCCGAATCACATTATCACTCGGTGGAATACCAGCAGTCTCTGGATGACCTCAAAGTTCGACTGAGCGACGTTGAAACCGTTATTGATAAGGACGGAAAACACGATGATCAGTCTCTTTGTCTAAATTTAACCCGACTAGCTGGCCTGATATACCTCGAGCGCGTATCTCGAAACTTCTCAGGTGAATCTGCAAGACTACACAACTGGAAGAAAGGTGCAATTTCTATACTCGTCAGCCTGAACACGTATCCGCCATCGTTCGCTATATTCATCGTCGGATGTGAGACGCATACGGACGAAGAGCGGATGGTCGTGCTTGACTTCTTCACGAGACTGGAACAGAGCCCTCACTTGAATAGCTTACTGGAGGCGAAAGGCTTGGTTCAGACAGCCTGGATTCAGCATGATCTCGGGGCAGAGGGAGAGCTTGAGTATATTCACAAGCTCAACTTGGTGCTGAGCTCGCGCAATGTAATACCAAGCTTCATGTAGCCTGAATCAGTCACAGTCTTGCATAAGCGGTGAACACAACAGATAGTCAAGCTAGGCTTCTCATTCGGCTATTCATTATCGACGTCGCACCATGTTTCCACTCCTAATCTCACAGTGATTCCCTTGGGTGTCTTTTCTTCATGTGTCTCAGCATGTTGTCTTTCCTTGAGAACTTCTCCATACAACCACGAACTATACACTCGATCTCACCTTTCCCTTCCGTAGTGTGCTTTGCTTGGATATGTCGCTGTAGGTCGGCTTCGAAACCAAACGGCTTTTGCGTACAGCCATCGTACGGGCACTTCGCGCGTTTGTTGTGGATACGGTTGGTGTGTTTGCTGTAGGCTGTAAATTTGGTGTGTAGACGAAGTGATGGGGTTTCACCTACTTCAAGTCACAATGGCGGTGGAGTCGTTCTTGACAGAGACAACAGACAAGATCCGGTCCTTCGAACTTTGCGATCAAACTAGCGATAGAAAGATATGGTGATACAGTCGCCGAAATTATAGTTGCTGGAGACTCGGACCGGTCAGCCAGCACATCCTAGGGTGATACCAGCGGGGTGGACGGTGCAGATGAGGTAGTGTCAATGTCCTGGGCGATGATTGTGACCGGAGAAAAGTTCCCCAACATCATCTGGTCAGGTTTAATTGTTTGTATAGGTTGGGTGGACTTGAGTTGAGGACGGTGGATGACCGGATTGATCTCGTGTTCGAAGGCGTTTGGTGAGAAGAATTGGTCTGGGCAGTAATGTGGTCTCGTGGCAGAATGTACATTCGTATGTGAGCTATGATAGTTAGGCCAAGTCGCTAGCATTGGCGGACATACATACTTGAGTTCCCATTGCGCTTGAAAAGGCAAATCAGTACAGTTAGGACAGTCACATGGAAACCAATCAGTCATCAAATTTGAGATGTGCTGAGGCGTGAAGATGGTTGTATCCGAAGTATTGAACTGGATCATGTCTCGTTTTAGAACCGCATAAGCCTCCTGTGTGACTGCTTCAGCTGTGACAGCGGCCTGTTGTTCATCATCCGGTAAAGCTGCGATTCGAGCAGCTTCAAGTTCTCTGCGATGATTTTCAAGCTGATCGATTCTGTGGGAAGAAGGAGAGGTGTTCGTAGCCGCTTGAGCAATGTCGGTCAGCTGGTTGAAATATCTACCATCATGCACGGGTTTGTATACATACCATCGTCGCCATCCCTAGAGCTCGATCCTCTAATCATCTTCTTGACCCAGGACACTATGCGATCTATTGCCCCGAGGTGCCGAATTCTATTTATTCCTAAGGGTCCCAATTCTTGTGGTGCAGGTATAAGAGCACTTGAGTATTCCGTGAACACCTGAAGTTCTTCTAACGAGTCTTCACACACAATGAGATCATGACTGAGGCTTTCCAGTAATAATAAGTCGACTGTAATGAAGCTTTTCTGATGGCTCTTTGGGCCCAACGCATTGATCGAAGCGACAGCCATGTCAACACGGACGAACCCGGCAGTGATTGCTATGCTTCCGTCTGCCAGCTGAATTGCTTCCTCGCCTGGGTAGATTGTAAAGCCGCGCTCAGCCGCAAACGAAGGCGAAATCAGATCGATCTCCGAGCCGGAGTCTGGAGTTGCTAGGGTCTCTATGTGGTTCAGCTCACACGATAGTAACCACCTTGGTTTGTCCACGGAGCACACGGACAGAGCCTGAAGAGCTGGTGTTGGGACGCGTACAAGTCTCTCTCTGTGTTCGGTCATTGTTTTCGTTTGCTCCAGAAAACTCAACCCCATGATGATAGGTGTCGCAGCTTTGAGTAGGACGTAGAATGCGCAAGTCATTGTTAGTATTGACTCCGTTCCAATGCCAAACGAACAGACCGACTCAATCATGCCAATAGCTTCGACAAGCTTACCATTGGCTAGCGCAAATTCCTTCTTTTCTGGTAAGAAATCGTACTCTGAGTATCCTAAAGTCCTTGCTACTTCGTCCGAGATTATATTGACATCAGCACCGGTGTCTGCACACGCCAAGACGGTAGCCAGAACTCCTTGTTTGTGAAGCGTGATTGGTAAACCTAAGCGAGGTTTTCTGGGTCTATGTCTCCTTGTTGTGATCGATGACCCGTCACTGCCACTATCGGAATGGATCCGACCACCCAAGCCAAGTGAGAGTGTGAGCTGTGGATCTGTAGGTGCCATCTGGTGAAGCAACAGAGTATCCATGAACTCCCATTCATGCTGCGGAGCTTCATTATTGTACGACTTGTACAACTTTTGCCTTGCTTCTCGGCCATCGCCAGCGCGTTCGACGTGAATGTTGCTCTGTATTGACATTAGCTATGCTTCAACGCGGAACTGAAACTTACCAGAGGTACCTCATTGATGTCTTGAGGCAGCCATAAGGGTGTGAATGGCAATGGAGGTTGACTCTTCATATCAGGTTGGAACGGAGTAAGTCCTGGAGAGGCGCGGACGTAGTCATCATCGTCGTAGTATTCCATTTCGCGTATTCAGTATATTCTACGGAGGTGTCATGAAAGATGGGATCGGGCAGCGATGAGTATGTAGTCGGGCTGGGCTGTGCATGAGATGGCGGGGTCACAAGACAGCTCCAAGCCACCACTGACCGGTCAAGCAGCCGCAGCACCAGCTTAGCCTGCTGGACCTCCAGATACGAGTGTATACTTTCATTCCGCACCGGCCACGCAGATATGTCCACTGGCAATATCGATACTGAGGCAAGGACACATCATCTCTCTGGATATCCGTCTCTTGCCCACTTCATCGCAAGTGATCGCGATCGAACGACCCTCATATTCAAGCGATACGATGAGCTCGCAGCCCGAAATCTGCTCTATCTGCAAAGCGAGCTCGCCGAACTCCAGGCAAAACAACGCGCTCTTGATCAAGAAGACTTGACAGCGAACCTAAGCACAAAACAATGTGCACGCAACTATTCAGACTTTGAAAAGGCAGTACAGGCAGACGAAACGAAGCAAAAGGATCGATGGAAGTTGATGAAAGATATCCGAGAAACATTGAAAGAGTACCGAGAAGCACTGCTGTTCGAAAGCACATTAGCAACATTACCAAGGCCACCGAAAAGTGTTCTACGCGCCTTCCAAATGGAATTTTACAACCGGAGTGACGGAAAAGGAGAGCCATTCCCCACCCTTGGGGGGCACAGTGCTGGAATATATGACGATATTGACGATCTCGTCGCATTACGGGTACAAGACGATCAGGACCGGTTAACGACTTTCGCGCAGGAGCATTTGGCATTCTTGTTTCCAGTGAGTGACCCTGAGTTCAAATCACATTGCTTTCGAGATCAGTACGATGTGGCCCGGATGTGAAAGATAGTGGAAGAGTAGCGACTGAGATGGACCAGGATCTTCACATCTGAGCGCCGTAGATAGCCGTAATCAAAACCAGACGTGCCATTGCTGACACAAGACCGTAGGATCGCAAGCGCTCCGGCAATGGCATAGCCTACGCTTCCGACCGCGCCATCAGTACCTTCGCAGCGTACTTCAGTACATTCCTAGCAGCGCTACTGCTCATAGGCGCCATCGTCGTACTCTACAAAGTAACGTCGCCGGACTGGAGACTGGGGCTGATAGCGACTTTCACCACCCTGTTCGCTGGCAGCGTGGGTCTATTGACGAATGCGCGGAGAGCAGAACTGTTCGGTGCGACGGCTGCGTACGTATACCCTTTACCGGTTTCTTCAGAGGGTATTGCTGATTCGAATGTGTGTAGATATGCAGCGGTCCTCGTAGTCTTCGTAAGCGGGGATCTAGGAAATAGTCAATCGAGCACGGCGCCACCAGGCTGAATAAATCAATAATGATATTACAAAGTTACAACAAGAACGCTGCTTCTATATGCTGGCTACCGTCCCAAAGATTTCGATCTCACAAGATATCAACCATGTCATTCAAAAGAGAGCGCGAAGAGACTCCGGACCTTCTTCCGAGACAAGATCCTCCGTCGCCGTATCTCAAGCGCGCGAAGAAACTGAAGTAGGCCTAACAGACCCCGCACCACTCTCCCTCCTCCCCCAGTTCCTAGGCTGCCTCTTCAAGAACGCACCCACGGCGCCTAGGTATCCCTCATGCCTCAAAAAGTACGCTTGCCGCGTATCCTTCGACCAGAAACGAATAGCGTAGGACAGCGTATTCATCGTCTGTGAGTGACCTCCGATGAAGGAACCCCCAAAGTATATCCTAGGCAGTCCATGCTTTTCAGCATGTAGATGCGCCAACTGGCCAATGTTGTTTGATACAGCGTAGAGAAGCGATCGTGCCATATCTTCTGGACGGAAGGAACCAGGGTCGTGGGAGAGTTCCGCTGAGCCTTCGACATGCTCTGCTTCTTCTCTGCGCTTGAGATCGCCGTTGCATCCATCTTCTGCCTCCCGTTCCGCCGCGCGCTTCATCTTGTAGACCTTGCCAAATGACGACGCGATATGTGTGCTCTTGAGCCCGATCTTGTTGTACGCCTGTCCGTAGATGTCTCCAACGAGTAAATCGACCGTGGAATTGTCGCCGTTCTCCGCGAGTCGCAGCATATCGTCGAAGCTGCGTGCGCCGGTAAGCAGCGATAAGAGGCCCCAGAGTGTTCCTCCTCCTAGTGATGTTCCGCCTATGCGCTCGTATTGCCGCGGCCCTGAGACTTTGATCATGGATACGCCGGAGCCGATGTTGACGAGGAGGTAGGGGTAGATGTTCGGTGGGTCGGGAGGGTGTGGCATGAAGGTCATGGGGCTGTCTTCGCTGTATGTGAAGACTTCGTTTGGTATCTCGTTGATGAAGAAATCGAGGCCTGTAAAGCGTCGAAGTTAGCATGATGGTTCCCTAATCTACACAGAGTCATGTTCGTACCTATGATCAAGCACTCCATCTCGTCTTCCCGTATGACCTCTACATCTAGCGCCTGCTTGATCTTGTCGTGGTATTTGAACGCACCACCACCAGTCGCCATGATGCACAAGTCCGGCGACCTGGATCCATTGTCGTGCTTCTGGTCGGCCTGGAGCTTGCGCATGAACTCTATGCACGCATCTATCCGGTCTGTCTCGAACTTGAAGAAGTTGAGGCGTCCGCCAATCGCATCGTCGCCCGGTTCGCGCGAGAAGTATACAAGTTTGGCTAGAGAGCCTCCTATCTGCGATGCGCACGATGGATTAGCATGCTGCTGTGACTCTGCAAGGGGCTGATCGCTGTGAATGGTCGCGTGCCACAACCAATCAAGCACACGACCACGCAGGTACACTCACATCGACGGCTACATGGCTGACTACCGAAGTGTGGTTCGGTAGTCTGATGTCGTGCGGGTCGTGTTCGTAGTCCTCGCTCTGCGGCGTCCCCGGCTGCTCTTCGTCTACGATGAAGGCCCCCTGGACGTTGATGCGCACATTGCCCGGGTGTTGTATCGTGTCCTGGATGTCGCTTTGGGCGGTAGTCCGTCTCGGGCGTCCCGGTTCCGGGGTCGACGATGTCTCTATAGGATGCGCACGCGATCCTTTGGTGCCGGTTTCACCCGTCGCGGGGTCCAACGCAGGCGACATGGATGCGGATGTTCTGGGTCTTGGCTGCAGCTTCGCCCTCTTACAGCGATGGCGCACGCTCAGAGGTCGACGTCGTCTCGCGGAGAGATGGTGTTGGGATGGCGATTGTGCGAAGGGGGAATGGGGCACTGGAGTCGCTGCTGATAGCGATAGACGTTCCATTTGTCCGCTTTGTAACGGACCTTATGCCCTGGGCAAGACGTGACCTGAAGTTCTGCGCAGAATAGAGCCCAAGGTACGCAAATCTCCCGCTGCCCCTATACAACGGCAGAGGGTGGAGCGCCGAAGAAGAACATATATATCCTCCATATTCATCGGCGGAATGGAGACTGTATATCCTGCGATGCGTGCTGATTACCGAGATCGGGGCAATGTTAAGCTCGGCAACTGGCGTGAGGCGTGATGGGGAACATCCGAGGACCGACTGGGGAGGTTTGTGGGGATACCGCTGACCAACGTCGGTGCATTTAGTAGACTTGAGTAATCCAATATTGTATATCGATCGCGGTATTTAGGCGGAGGCTATGATAAGGGCCATTTCTAATAGCTGGAAGCACACGTGCAGCCACATCAAGTGCACAGGTAGGAACTTTCAATTCGAGTACGTCATTATAGACTTCAACTCTTAGCTGCAAAATGTACATGATTCGAGCTTCACCCCGTTCACGCCTTCCTGCGGCACAGTCCATAGGCTCGTACCTGCATACACCCACGTACCAGGTAGGTAACAGCCGATGACGTCGTGCGCTCGTACCCTCTCTACCAACTCCACAAGCACGACAATCTTCTACCGTACATTCACACGACGCCAACCCCATATTTTACGCTTGGATAAGCTATACCGATCGTTACCACTACAAAATACCAAAAGCTTCAGCAAGATGTCGTGGATGGACTCCTGGTCGCGGCCCAGCAAGCACGCCGTCACCCCACCACCCCTCTACCTCACCGTCGGCGACACAGTACCCTACTGCCACAGCTGCGGGCGCGTAATCAGCGAGCGCCGCAAGACTCAAAACGCAACGGCAGTCAAATACTGCTCAGCACGATGCCGAAATAGCAAACCAGGTCCCACCGATCGCAAGATCGAAGCCACATTCGCCGCCCTTCTCAACGGCGCAACCCCAGAATCACTGAAAGAAAACGCCGGAGCAGACCCGATCAAGAACAACGCAGAATCAGAGAATACACATGATGACGCTAAATTCGGCAAAGGCGAGAAGAAACACAAGAAGAAGCCCTCCAAGACCGTCAAAGGAGAAACTAGAATCATCATCGAATGTGGCACAGTAGAAGAGATAGTCTTCCAGCGGGAAAAAGACCCCGAAAAAGTCTACGGACGACGCAAAAACCGTAAAGCGCGTTTCGTAGTCGAGAAGCCCGAGGATTGGAAGAGCGTGGATATGGTCGATCAGCCTGCGTCTAGCACACCTGCTACAGGCACGACAGACGCATCATCAGCATCTGCACAACAGCAATCCCCACAAGACTACACCAGCGACGAGGAAAGCGTGTCAGATTCCGACGCCGAAGCCGAAGGCGGCATAGTCCTCGAACCCACAAAAACAGCCTCCTCTACAGACGCAGACGCAGACCCCTCCGCCCTCCCTGACACAGTAGAATACGGCTACGGCGGCGGTAAAGTGCGCCCACCCCAAGCGCAAAACGATGTCAACGGCAGCGTCGGCGGAGAAAAAGGCTGGGCTGAACGCATCGAGGAGACCGATGAGATGAAGTTGAAGCGGAGGGAGGGGCAGCGGAAAGCGGATGAGAGGGAGATGGTGAGGAAGGCTGCGAGGAGGGGGTGTGCGTTTGGATTTGCGGTGGAGGGGGAGAGTGAGAAGAAGAAGTGTGAGGCTGTTATGAAGGGCGTGGTTGTCGAGAGTAGTTTTGCGAAGGGGGAGTGGGGGGTTAGGTGGAGGGAGATGGTATGAGTGTGAAGGACATTGCCTGATAACCAAGGCAAATCAATGTCTGAGAACTAACAACTGTACGATTGAGTAAAACGCCGATATGGCGACGGTGGGTATCAAGAATATTCAACCAAAAAAACGCCTTTGTCCTGGAGATCGTATCCAAGCGGACAATCCTTCAACGATCATCTAGCAGCCCTTTCCCAAGACCCATCTTCATGCATTACCCACCCAGCGGCCATTAAAGCTTTGCCTTCCTTCATGCCCGGGTGGATGATCATCTCAAATCCTGGTCTCAGTCCAGCTCCAGATCTAAACAATGTTAGCATAACCATTCCATGCTTTCAGTCCCTGTTATGAAAGGAGAGAAGCGGGAAACATACCTGATCATATGCAAAGCCATCGTCCTCGCCTTATCCTTCAAATTAACCTGATTCCTATTGATCAACCTCTTCGGCCCATGATCATCCTGATCATGCTGCAGAATCTTTGAGTATTTCCCCCGGTACATGTTCATGTACTGTATCAGCGCGTCTTCTTCGTCGTCTGTCCATTTCTGGCGGCCTTTGCGCTCGGCTGCCCGTTCTTGCGTGGTGACTTCGAGAGCGCGATTTTCTTTTGCGAGGCGCCGTTGGTCGGGCCAGGTTGACGAGGGCGGTTCCTCAGACATGGAGGGCGCAGAGGTTTCGGAGATTGATTCTTCTTGTTCGGATTCTGGGCGGGGAGGTTGGTGGCTAGTTGGTGCTGCGGAGGAAGAGGGTATGCGTTCGGCGGTGCGCTGTTTCTTTGAGACGGGCGCGTTGCGACGGCGTTCTGGAGCACGGAAGCCGCGGTCTGCGGTTTCGAATTCGTCGGATTCCGAGTCGGAGATGTCGATTACGCGCTTACGTTTGCGTGGGGATGGCAGTGCGGGTTGCTTTCCTTTGGCTGTATTTGACGGGCCGGGTGTTGGTTGGGTGCTGTCGAAGCCGTCGCCGAATTCGATGCGCTGTGCTGTTGGTTGGCGATCGAATATTGATACTGGGCGGTTCTCTTTCTGCGGCTTTGGAACGGCTTTCAGAGCTTTTAGTAGAGCTGCTGAGCTTTGCGGTGGACCTGATGCTTGAGGTGCTTCGAACTGCGCTTCGACTGGTTCTTCGGGCTCTTCCATTCGGCTTTCTTCCGTCGTTTGTTGTCGGGTTTGCTGCTGTTCAGACTGCTCCTCATCGGGCTGCTGCGGGACGTCGCTTTCATCTACCACCTGCATATTATCCTGTTGGTGTTCCGTCCTTGGCTGCTCATTTTGCACTTTTTCGATCGCTTGAGGAATATCCTCATGCTCCTGCTGAGAAGCCGTGTCGCTTCCGACCATGG